GATGGTAAAAGTTCAAATGTAAATATACCGTAATGTGAAATGATTTTCATTATGCCTCGTAGGTAGTGATCGATTTCTTGTCTTATGATTTTACTTCAGGAAAATCTTGCCTGCATGGGCTATTTCATTTTTGAACAAACTTAGAGTTAGATTATGGCAAAGTTGTACTTGTCCTCTAGCGGAATCGCTTTGTGAGTGAATGAAAAAGGGAAGAATAGAATCATTGCCAAAATTGATTCGTTCTATAGAATCATTTTTTGTGCGGAATTACGTTTAATGTGTAACTTTCATGATGCCTTATTAATTAATTCCAGTTATAGAGTCTTACTGGCTTACGAAGCTAAAATTTTTTTTTCTGCAATCAATTTTAATAGATGATGCTGTTGTGGATCCTGGTTCGGAATTTTTTTTTGGTCGTTTTTTTGTTCTCGTCGTCATTTAAATTTCCAAGATTTTGAAGTCTTTGTATTGTAGTTGCGTCAGATTCCGAATATGCGTTTCGTATTTTGGAACTTTTTCAGATAATTTGTTTTTATTTTGTGATAATTGCATTTTTTCTTGATGTTTCTTCAATCTGATGCAGCCTAATTTTTGCTTATGTGGTGTAGTCACAAGATCGTATATTTCGCTTTCAATTAAACAATTAGGGAGAACCAAGGTTTGTTTGTTTTCTAGATTATCTCTTGTTATAATTGTTAGAACGATGGTCGCAAAATCCAGAGCTTAGGTTTCTTATTTCCCAAACTGTTAGTTCTAACAATTTTTGTGTGATTATCCTAACCTTGAAACATAGGTTGTCAATTGTAGAAGGGTTGGAGAGAGAGTGTATATCAATTCGTTAGAATGATGTTTTACTTTCTCGGTGATTAAGTTCTGTTTTAGTTTTAAGAAAAAATTACTTAATCTTACTTAAAGTTGTGATTTGTGATCGAGGATTGGAAAATAGAAAGCCAATCTACAGGTTACAGGTATAATTAGAACACAAGTAATTCGTTAGGTATTATTTTAGATCATACAAAGTTTATGATGTGCTTAAGCCTGGTTCACCTAAGAGGAGGGGTTCAAGTGATGGATGAGTAACAGAAGTTCTTCACTGTTTATCCTAATTAGAATGGTTAGTTGTTCTAAAAGTTCTATTAACTAAGGTCGATGGTATGGGTAGGAGATTGAATCCACGTTTGACTTCATTTTTACTAGGAGGCGGGGAGAACAAAAGTTTTCTGATTGATCCAAGGAAAGCCTCGATGATCAAATGTTTTTGAATGAATTAAAATTTATAATTGAGTAAAAAATTGAAGATCCGAGGATATCCTTAATGGTCTCGCTTGAAAAAACATAGATTATCACAGAACACGGTTAGGTCTTGACAGTTTTTTTGTTTAAGGTTTCAGTTATGTTTAAGGTTATAAACTTTAATAGGGTTGATTTAGATATTAAAAATTTGAATGATTTTGATTTTTAAATGAGTATGGTTATGTTTTAGATGAAAGAACAAGGAATCTTGACTGAGCGAGAATGAGGATGTGAGTCTTTTAGAAGCAAGGAACTTTTTATAAACTTATTAAAACAAATTTTAAATTGATTTACTAAGTAACTTTTGAATTTTTTATTCAGTTAGATTTAAATTTTACAAAAGTTTTAAAGTTACTGCAGATTTAAACCTTCGTTGTATCTTTTTATCAGTCGTTGTATTGTTATGCAACACTTCCACGCAATATTGAGAAGTTTACGGCTTAGAAATGAACTTTTACTGCTCCAACTAATTTTGTTCATGCTACTGAATGAAAATCTACTGCATTTAGAATTTTGTATAAAACTAATCGTTGCAGTCTTGGTCAATTCACGATATAGAGGCTTAGTCTGTTCTTCGGGTTTTGATCTGACATAATCTGTTTCGTTTGGTTGTTTCCATTAGAGTTATTGAGACGTAGAGACAAAGTCATTAAATTTGTAATACAATTGAACACTTTGTGATGTGATTCTGATCTTTTTTCTCTTTTTAACTTGCTTAATCTAAATTTGCTCGCACCAGAGTTTTTTTGGTCGCAAGTGATGATTTTATGTCCGGGGTGGCTCACTCATGAAGAATTTCAGATGAAGTACACCGTCTGTTCGTCACGCTATCTTTTTTTCGGGTTACCGGTTTTAGCAAGTTAGATATCAGGAACGAGTGTTTTTGAAGGAGAACGACTGTTTGCTAAGTTGTATTTATTTTGTTCTGTTGCTGAAACTATGAAGAGTTTCAGCTTTACAAATAATGTGAGTGTAGGAGTCATGATTGGTTTAGTTAGAAATATATTATAGAGATAGTTTTATCCATAAAAAAATTGGATATAAATACCAGTTTCAAACTGGTTCCAACTTTTCATGTATAGTTTCAGAAAGTCGATTTGCCTAATTGTTATAAAAACTCTGGATCATAAAAAGCCGTCCACGATCTGACCAGGAATGGTAGTTTGGATGAAGCAAAACAGAAGAAGTTCAACTTTTCTTCTCCAGACGGAAAGGACATCTATGTTAGATTTTAGGAAGAGTTTTGTACCTAAAATCAAAAGTACTTAAAAACTTCCCTAAACCAGGTTTTTTATAATTAAGCGAAAAAAATTTTTTATCAAGTAATGGCTCAAAACTAGGGTAAGACTCAAAAAATTCGAACGGGTTTTTCTCGACACTGGAAAAATTTTCGTTGGAAAAGTTGTTCGAATTACCACTGGAAGGGTTATAATATAATACATTGCTCAAACCTTTCGATGATTATTTGTGGTACCTGCCTGAGTTTCTGTGTGAGAAAAGCTCAAAACAGAAGTAGTTGCGTTTTGGTCTCTTGAAAAAAACTTTTAGTTCAGATTTTAGAAAAGTTTTGAACCTAGCTAGATATTTAAGAACTTGGATACAGTAGACTTTACTGCAACGAGCTTGTTTTTTTTTAGCTCTTCCTGTTTTTTTTGTGCAAATTGCAGAGAGCCGTCAATTCGTGCAATTGAAAAAGAAAAATTGAAGTTTTTCAAGTATGCATTTTTTGCAATTAATATCTGTCGTACTTTGGAACATCTTTTTTGGCTTGAATTTTTTTTTGGTTCAACAGGTTTTTAGAGGTAAACTCAAAAAACTTCTCAATTATTGGAAGTTTTGTGAATTTAGTTAGCTTTGTTGATACTTTAAATTTATTAAAAGGTAATTAAAATTTTTAAAAAAATTTTATAAAGTATTTGAACATTTAAAAAAAATTTTGAACATAAACAAACTGTTGTCTTTAATTTCCCTAACGGTTCCAAAGTTTCATAAAAATTAACAACACTGCTTGTATTCGATTATTTTTTAAGGTCTATGGAGCAGTAATCACATGAAAAAAAAAAGACGTGAAATAGAAAGAAACTTTTTTAAAACTTGAGGTCTATTGTGAAAGTCATCGCCCACGCGCCATACAAAAAACGGAATGATAGGTTTTGATCCTTGTAAAAAATCAATTATGGCAAATAATCTTCTTCCAGCCAGTTTGGAACGATTTCTAAGACGGATTAAATCTCCGCTTACGCGTTAGTAGCTCGAAATAAATCGCTCGTTAATTGTCCCATTTTGGCAATCCTTAAACCCCCATAACTTAACAAAAAAAAGATCAAAAGTGAATATGTTTTCAAATTTAAGCTCAAGTCAACAATAATTTTTGAATGATATAAAAAGATTCCGTCAAAAATGGCAAGTTAAAAAGTCCGTGTCTTTAGTTAGCAAAGTCTGAACAAAAAAAGAATTTTCTCGCATTAGAAAACTACGCAGAACAATTTGGGTATCTGTCGATGGAAATACATTGATCGCAAAATTTGTGAAGGTTACTGCAACAAAAATTTAAATATTTAATTCAGCTTTACTTTTTCAATTAAATAACCTTTTTTAAGCAATTTCTTATATCTTATAACGAGTTAAATGTTTTGGCATCATCCTAAACAAAACTTCCATTTCAAGTTATTTGTGCGATAGATTATACGCATTAGGGTGTTTTTTATTCTGGTAGATTTTATTAATACTTCACAGTGCAACTTGAAAAAATGACATCATTGAAAAAATAGTTTAAAAAAATTGAATGTTGAAAACTACGATTGTAATTTATGTGGGTGGACCAAAGGAACAATCTCCTCCTAAATCAACTTGGGGCGCAGATTGCTCACTTGGTTAAACTGAATTTGTTTTCAGCTAATCAGATGTGACTTTGTAGAGGCAGGCCTTACTGCTTGAATTGTCTTTTAATTGTAGGGATGAGAGTGTTCGCTTTTTCTATCAAGGTGGCAGGTTGTTCACAAGTTGAATACCAGGTTTAGTTGAGAATGCTTGTCATAGAATGCGTTTGTTTTCATCTTATTGTTCCGACTTTCGATACGAAAGTAACGGAATATTTGTGCTCGGGGTATGTTTTTTTCTACAACTTTCGACTTTTTAACTAGCATTTTTTGACGGAATTGTTTAAATCTTTCTCAGAAATCGTTCCAAGTTGGTTAAAAGAAGTTTATTTGCCATAATTGATTTGTTACAAGGAGTGAAATCTATCCTATTGTACTTTATATGGTATCTGGGGGGATAATTTTCATAAAAAATTTCAAACTTTAAAAAAAAAATTCCTTTTGTTTTATTACATTTAATTTTTTTAATTATTACTGCTCCATAAACCTTAAAAGGCAAACGGAACACTCAGGGCTTCGCCCTGATACGAGCAGTTTTGGTTTAGTTCAAAACCTATCCGTCGATAATTATGCAAATTATACAAAAATCAGTCCAGAATTGATTTCTAACTAGTTATTAGAATTGAATGAACTTTTTAGGCTAGTACGATTTCGTAGTTGGAGTGGACTATATGATAGAGACTTAACTTATAGAATTTCTTCAGAGATGCACTGGGTAGGGATTGTAGTTGATTATTAACTGAATTATGCTGTAACTTGGTGAAGCTAACGATTCGTGCCCAAACATATCATGAAATATTCTTTGAATGGAGTAACTGATTAACTGACCGCATCTTTGGTTGTTCATGTCGCAGAAGATCTTAGTGCCCTCCACTGTCTTGCAAGATGCCTCAGTGTCATCCCCCAGTCGCCAGCAGGAGTGGTACTCCTGTCCCCCCTCACTAAAGGGAAAGTGACAGATGGCGGTCTTGTCAACGCTCAGACACAAACCCGCTTTTTCTAAAAGAAAACTTGAGTTTTTTTAACAAAATGATATTTGGTTTTTAAAATGATTGAGTGGTTTTTAATGTTCCAAGTTTCCACGTTTCCAGGGGTAGCAATGGTACCAATTTTTATTGTAGCGAGAGTAGTGGCTGGGGTTAATTGGAAGATACACGAGCGCGGTCGAAATCTGAAAGGACAGTTGATCGAGAAAAGTTCGGTTGAAGTACTGCTCGAGTTATGTATCGACCTTTTTGAGGTACGTTTCGACCGTTTTTGAGGTATGTTTCAAATTGATTCTCTACATAATCTCCTGTCTCGACTGTCCTTTTGCAGGTCGAGCACAGATATAGTGACACTTTGAAAATCGATTAAATAGTTAGTGCACTCCTTCAAGTTGATTTGAGTTGACAGTGCACATTTTGACTTATCGGGGCACAGGTCGAAAAGTTGCATCACAATCGCAGTCAGCAACGATGGCGCCAACAAACAAACTCAACAAATTCGATACTAATCATCATATGAAATGTATATATACGACATTCCCTCTAGTTTACTAATATTAAATTGTAATTTAAAATTACACAAAACAGAAATTCAATTGAATTTTAGACCAGTGGTCAACCTTCACCCTGGGCATAGAGTTTCACAGTTTTAGTTTAACTTCTTCTCCGGTATCCCGGTATCGGATGGCACGTCCGAACTTTAGTTGGTATCCCTTTCCAGCCCGTGCTCCTTCCCCCTTCTTTCTCCCCGCCTTGAAAACACTATCGATCATCATTCCCCCGAGTTTCGTTACCGCCGTTGGTTTTCTGGAATTTTTCCGCCACCCCGTTTTGACCAAAATTTGCCGGTCTTGACTCGAGTATGACACTAGTCGGTGCTTTCTAGGTCGTCCCGCCTTCTTCTTCGATCCCTTCGCAGTCGTCGCAGCTCACTCATCGCTCACGTTCGGTGCTTTATTCGCTATTTTTTTAAGCGCTGCTTCGTCTTGGTTCTCAGTTTCCCTATAACGCCTTTGTCCGTCGGCATCGTTCTTATCCGTAGGCACTTTCTTGTTTTCCTTCGGTGTCGCCGCCGCACCGCTTGAGCTTTCTCCGACCTTTGTATCGACGCTTGAGCTTTCTCCGACCAATAGCATTTTGTAACATCGATTTTTCGCAGGGCAATCGTAAAAGCTCGTGTTCTGAGGTTGAATCTGAATCATTGTTATCATCCCATTTTTGTAGTTTTGACAGTGGTTGGATTTTCATTTTGAAACATATCTCCCCTGGCATAGTCAGGCGTTCTTTGTCCAGTTTTCGCCTGAACATTTCAACCGTAGGTGGTTTCGCGTATTTCCCTTAGGCGATATTGTCAGCGCCCGCATAGCTTTTCCCGCAACACTGCTTTTCCTCAGCACAGACCCATTTTTCAGAGACAAGATAAGTTCAGACTCTTTATCAATTTTCTGATTTATTTTTTATACCTTTGGAACAATAGTTCTATCCGTTTGCTCGGTTGGCTCGACGTGCCTCCGGCGTTCGGTTCCTAGGCGCCTTTGGAGCCGCTAGTTTTGCTCGCACGCTTGGTGTCTTAAGATTCTCAAGGCCTACTGACCAACTTATCGTCCGCTAACCTCCGCGGGTGGTTCAATGCTCCACGTCAAACTCAGTGTCCGACTTTTCGTTCCCGTTAGTCGGTGTCGGATGACGCATTCGATTGGTAAAGGTGTCTTCAGTATGTAAACATGCAGCTAATTGTTGTAAAAATGTCTCCCAATTAAGCTTTTCAAGCGACGGTTTTTTGTGAGGTTTCTGAGTACCGTGTTGGTCTAAGCCTTATCGCACACATTGATGCAAGTCTTTTACCTGCAGCGGTTCACTACTGGCATCAGTCGTCGGCGGCCACCAAACTTATATGTAGGTAAGGAAACCACACGTCCCTTGCCGCGTCGAACATGTTTCCATCCACGATGGAAAGTGTGCATCCTATCAACCACCGCGTCCTAGGTGGTAGTGGGACGACGAGGCGTTCGTTCATCCACAGACAGTTCTCCTTTTCGTGGAAGTCGTTTGAATGTTGGCCCAGAAATTCTCCCATTGCTCTGACTTTCCGGAACAGATCAGGGTCTTTTCCTTCCACCATGTCCTTGATCGCCTTCTTTTGTGGAGTCTCCTTAAAAGTTCGCCTCGAATAACTTAAGACTGAATACTTCTCGTAGGTCATCACTTTCTGAAACTACTTTTCAATCTCGTGAGATGAAACTCATCACCACAATAGCTGGATAAGCCGGCGGAACTATTTCACAACCGAACGCTGATGGAATTGAAATAACAGCTTCCAATTACGCGTCCACCACCTCAATCTCACTGCTGCTCCCGCTCGTAAAATCTGGATGTTTCAATAAAAATTTGTTTAATTTCTTCAACTTAATGCTGATCATTGGAAATGAATAGGTCCAAAAAAATACAACTTTTTGGAATGGAAGGATTTTCTAACTTTGGAATGGAAGGATTTTCGGTCGTTGCAACGACATATGCCGACTCTGCCATCTGATTGGTTGATGTTTGAGCACATGGTTTTCGGCCCTCCTCTGGTGGAATTTTGCAAACGAATTTGCGTACTGCACTTTCATTGGCTGAAACATTCGATATTTTTGGTTTGGAGTTCTCTGCTCCGGGGTGTTTTCTATTTTTTCGTAAACAAAGGAATTACTAATTGAGTCTGTTTTAGCAACCGTAAATGTGTTATCCTATACACTAACACGCGATGCGTCACCGACGGAGCGCCTTGATAGGTAGTCAGGTAAACCGACTTTTGCCCCTGGCATGTGAACAATTTGAAAATCGAAAGGAATTATTCTAATCGGCTGAAAATTGTTTTTATTTTTCCTGTTATTTCCCTTTAACACTGGCAACAGCGCCTTATGATCCGTAGCGACTGTAAAACGCCTACCAAATATACAAATTCTAAAGTAATCTGAGCCCAATACGACTGCTAAAATTTCCAGTCCGTTTGGAAAGTTTTTTCTCCACCGCGTTTAAAAACGGAGATGCCACTGAAATTGGGTGCTATCCTTTGGGGCCGAGTTGTTCTAATATGGCTTCTAAACTGTTATGGCTTGCATCACAACCGATTCGAATGTACCTTTCGATGTCAAAGTGCTTGAATTAGATGATATTCGCTACTTGCTTTCTCAGTGTTTCGAATACCAATTGGCATTCGTTTGTCCTCACGAAATCATTTTTCTCACTAATTAATGGACACAACGGCACTGAATACTCCGCTAGCACCGGAAAGTACTTGTGTAGGCTGTGTATCAATCCCATGAAATCTTTTCATTGCGACAAAGTCTTGGGGGATTTATTTTATCTATTGGGTCAGTTTTCTTGCTAAAAGTGTGACGCCTGAATTTCTACGAGGTGTCCCAACCATTCACATTTTTTCCTAGCCAACGAACTTGCATTTCTCCAATTTCGGCGCCATGTTTTCTGTGTCTAGTTTTTTCAGGATTTTCTCAACCAAAACAATATGCTCGAGTCCGGAATTTTTTGATACAGCTAAGATATCAACAATGAAAGCGTGCTCACTGGGAAATCCGGAAAGAATCGCGTCCAATTTGATCAATGATACGTTGAATTTTCGCAGCTTGAGTTTCTGCATCATTGTTTATCCGTAGAATCCCGTTTTAAAACGGTACGTACGGTTGAATTTTTCTCCCACTAAGGAAAGTTTACATTTTTTGCTGGTGTTCACGTTCAGTGGCAGTTGACCGTACGCATAAGTTAGGTCTATAGTAGTAACAAATACATCCCTTTTTTCCTCTCAAGTATTGTTTGCCCAACAATGTTCATTAATTCTTCAATATTTAGTGTTTGTTACTTATTTTTATGGACAGAGCTCTCTTGAGCTCTCTTGATTCCAATGCTGATTTTACTGAACTGTCCTTTTTAACTGTGATCGCGAACGGCGAGACAAAACATTTATCCGAGCTCTCTAGCAGTTTTTCAATGTGCCCTTGTGCAGGTAGCTTATCAATTTCTTTATCTACATTACCTTGTTTTGTGATAGGCACTTTTCGGTTCTTTTGCTAGAGACGCAATAAATTTTTGAAGAATTCAGCTTGAACTTTATTGTTAGGTATGCGCCCTACCCTTTGGAAAAGGTTTTGAAATTGCTTACTGAAGTGTTTCTGCCAGTCATCAAAGTCATCTCCCTTGGCCTCGGTGTCCGGTTGCCCCTGGATGTTGAGTATTCCTTACTCCGCTAGCGCCTTAACTAGCATGAGTCCCAATGCCGGCATCAGATATCTACTGATGACTGATGGACGACAGCCTCAGATCACATTGATGGATGCCTGGGTCGTCCATCCGTTGGAGTGAAGAGTCGCGGTAAACTTCCGTATCAGCTCCAAGAGATTGTTTCCATAATCTTTGAACTGATTGTCCTTCTGATCTATCGGCAGGAGCTTCCCTAAGGTACCTTTGAGTTCTCCAATTGTAAAAATGGATATAGGCGATCTGCTATCAATCCAGGCTTGGGTGGGTTGTTCAATAATTTTCGAGCGCTTGTTTCGCACCCGCTGTTTTCAGTTCCTCTTCTTTTTTCCGCTCGATCGTCATAACAATTTAATTGTTCGAACTGTCCGAATCTCATCCGTGGGTTGCTTCATTTGGGTTGTTCACCCATCCGACGGAGCTTCCGTAGTGCGATGCGTTCCCGTTCTGATCCTGATGAGTATCTCCCTCGGTTATTTCCTCATGAAAACGGCCCACGCGTCTATTACCGTGGCTTTTCGGGCTCGACATATGCGCTCATAGTAAACCGTTTTTTAAAAAACAAATTGCATGCGGCGTTTTTCGCCGGGCACCTCGCAATGCGGTCCGTTGTATGTCTGCTCTGATTGCAATTGAAACATTTACGATTCGGCTCACCGGGATTATATCCTCTCAATACTCCCCGTCTGCACTGTTGCATTGATCTTCGATATCCAACGCGGATTGCGCTCACTGGTTCCGTTTTATCTTCAGTGCCCCTACCGGCGCCGTAGCGAGCCCTCCACTGGAAACTTTGTAAGATTTGGCGTATGTGTCCCCTCGTTCATACAATAGTGCGATCCGGTAAATCACGGGATTTGGTAGATCCGCAGAGTTCTGTTTGCGCCTCCTTGCTAGACATATTCACGATAAATACATCCAGTAGTATTCTGCGCTCCAGCGTTCCCAGATCGCACCGTGCCGCCAGCCCGCTTAGTACGGAATGGAACATTTCGAACGTCTCGCCGCCTCTCTGTTTTCTGGACAACACTTTGTAAGTTTCGATTTTTTCGTTCCTTGAAAACAGCCTCGAACTCTTCCAGTACTCTTGAGTATCTAGTATTCGCCAATTCAACGTGGGTTTTCCAATTGTGGAGTTCATCCTGGCCCCGCGCCCCTAGACAAAAATGCAAATTTGAAAAAAGCGTTTGTTCCGCCTCCACGCGTTTTTTTTCCGTGGCACATCCGCCGGCAGCAGCGCAATTTGAGTTGCTGCCAATGTCCGATCGACATGAGAAGCCGTAGGATTGAATGCAAGCTTTGCTTATACCCCCAGGTAAAACGAGCGATCCAGTGCTCCCATAGCAACGTGGCCTCCGTGCTCTTACTCATTCAAAACGCCGTGTTTCCAAGTAGGTCTATTCCCGTCTCCGTTCCGTATCCTGTTGGTTGCGCCATGTGAAAACCGAATAATCGGTACTTTAAATCTGAATAAATAAATCTCGATCTGCACTTCAAATCATAAAAACTTCAACTGTTTTAGATAACGAACGCTTTCAATATGGATTTGGCCGGTACTTAATTAAATCAATCCAGGATCACTGACAGCAGTGATGGCCCCAATAAACAAACTCAACAAACTCAAAAGTTTTTTATCATATGATATGTATATATAGGACAGAGCGCAATTTTTAGAACCATTGATCCCTAAAATTGTACTAAATTGTTGGTACCTACATATTTCTACGATATGTCCCTAAATTAATCTATGAGCCCAACGTGTCACCGAAAAACTGGACTCAGCGGTGCTCAACTGGTAGTTCAATATTTTTTGAATTGGGCTCATTCATCCCTTTCCATGGTAAATTAGTGACCAAAAATCGTGCTCCTTCAGACCCTTTACCATTTTGTACAAAAACAATTTCATCGACGCAACTGAACCGACTCATTGAGTAGCCAAGAACTCTGCTGTGCTACCTGTTGCCTACCAATCCTTAGAATTAATGTTTGTTTCGGTCGCTTAAAAATTATTGAACTCAGCCGCGGATCTAGGAATTTCTCGTCGAGGGGGGGATTTTCAATTTTCTCTCGATCTTTTTTTTTAGCTCGACCTAATTGATTTTCTGAGTCCTCTCAAATCATTCAAAAGACCCTGTTTTGGCCAAACCTCTGCGTCAAAATTTTTGAAAAAACAAGGTCGCCCCCCCCCCCCCCCCCCCTCAAAATTAGAATATAATGGAGCCAAAATCGGCTTTTGAAAAATTTTAAGGTCAGTCATCCAAAAATGGATATCTCAGAGTTGTACAAAAGTGGGAACCTTTGGGTCGACAGGGGATCGAATCCCTGAGGAGAGGAGGCGTCCCCCGTGAATCCACTACTGATTGAACTGATTGAGCCAATTTTGCTGGATATTGGTCTCAATCATCTACGTTTGCCATTATGATATTCTCCTAAAAAGTAGGGCTTATTCGGTCCCTTTAAAAAAATTGTTCTCAATCGGCCACATACTGAGAAATTGGGAACAAAAAATGGGCTCCGTTTGCCAAAAATGGGCTCCGTTAGCTAAAAATTGGGCTTATTCAGCAGCCCCAATAACTTAAGTCTTGTCGGCTGATAATATGTTGCTGTAACACCATTTAGAAATTCAAACAAAACGTTTAACTTGGAGCTCAATGGAAAAAATCCATTTTTGTTGCTATTTTGAATGCTTGAGCCTGAAACTTGGGGGATACTTATGTCATTTTGTTCGCGTAATGAAGAAAAGCTTCAAAGTTTTATAATATAATCGCACAGTTTTTTAATACCTCTGATGCATAGTTTTGAAATAGTTGAGTTTGTTTATTGGCGCCATCGGTGCTGTCTGTGAGCACCAGTTATGTATTCAATACCAAATTGAAATGAATAAACAGTAGAAATGAGAATAATTGAACGCTAGTAGCATTTAAAACTGACAATTTTTTGGACGAGAACATGGAAATTTTGGAAAGTAACACAGTCTGGCATGAAGATGGGCCCTTTAAGGCATTTTAAAGCATGCCCCGCGTTATTTTATCAATTTTTTCCTTTCTGTAGTTTACGATCAAACTATTCCATTAGCTTTCTTTCTTCATCAAAACAAAAGTGGAGAGCAAAAGATCCGGGCCTTCAGACAACTGAAAGATATGAACCCAGGACTTGAGCCCTCACAGACTGTGGTAGACTTCAGAAGACAGAAAACCAACAATTTAATCGAGGAATGGCATAGAAATTTCCAGATGGGATAGTGTGTCATCAGCCTGCCACCTTCACAAGTTTATTCAATTCTTAAAAAAAAAAACAATTTCTATCGGAGATCAAATACGCAAGAATGACTTACGGAGAAAGTGCCGCCAAGGTGACAAAATACAAAAAAAAGCCAAGCAAGATTAGTTGAGCCCCTTAAGCTTTATAGCAAAAATAATATTCTCAAGCAACGCGACGACCTCAAGTGTTTACCTCTACTAATTTTCGCTAGTTATTTCGTCACGTGCTGCGAATAGGCATTTTTTACAAAAACTAAGATTGGTCGCTTGCGAAGAATTGTCGCCATGCCTTCTCAGACGTGGTTCTTTTAATGAATTCACAAAAAAAAATACAAAACGACAATGTGTTTTAAATAAGAATTTTTTTTTTTTTTTCAACTGATCAGTAGAACCTCTTTCACAGAAACAATCAAATCTTTTTTCAAAAAATAGATCAACCCGTAAGTCAAAATTTTAATCAAATATACCATTCTTTTTCGTTGTGCTGCATGCCTATCTCTGCATAATTAAGGTCACAAACTCAAACCAATATTGCAAAAAAAATGTTTTTTATTCGTTCTTTTTAAAACTCTCGGGCTAATCCTTGGTGGAGTAAAAACTCAAACAAGCAGCTAACTGCTTCGCAGTTTTTGATGATGAATTAGTTTCTTAGGATGGATGCTGTGTTTTTGACAACTGGCGTTTTACTAACTAATCGGAAGCTCGGCAAAACGTGCACAGATTTCAATTTACAAATTTTTGAAAAAGACTTCAAAAATTCATCTCGGTTTCTACAAAAATGATTGAAAGCCGTTCACAATCCTTGAGTTTTCCATAATAATAATCCGTCTTTTGCCTACCAAATAAATCCGAGTGTCCGTTGATGTCCAGATATGAAACAGCTAATTTGAAGTTGGTGTGCATGTTATAGTAGTAGCCAGATGTAAATTCCACAAAACCAGATCTGTCTGTGAAAACGAATGGAACGGATGACTCACTACCAGAGGTCAACATAGTCCACTCCTATCAAAACACAAATGAATGTTTCAGAGATCAAGCCACACCTGAAATTCATCATTGATTAGCATATTAGATCGTTGATGCGAATCAGTTAATTAACAACTTCCTGTCTAAACATGAGCAGCATGGGAATTCGTTCAAAATTTTTTAAAAGTTTTTGCGCGTTTTCGGAACGTTTTGACCAAAAATCCATAACCACCCTCTACCATGAAATAATCATCCCTCAAAAAATCCCCCTGTAAAGAAATCAAAACCTTAAATTTTCCGACCATAAAGTTCCGTTAAGTCATAGCGCAACTTCACGGTATTGTAATGTTTTTAAATGAATGTTTTAGAATAATTTGGCTTGAAACGTAATTGTTTCAATCATGGGAAAAGGCCATATTTTCAACCAAACTCACCACGTCATTCTGCTGTCCGTCGGCAATCACAATCTTATCATTCTCCAACTCCCCCTGTATTTCAGAGGCCACGCCCAAATCCATCTGCACCATCTGCAGAACGGGGAACAGGGTGGGGTTGTTGGAATCGGGGGAGATGGTCCATCTGCAGGACAGACCTGTCGGGTAGGCGTGAGGGAAATTGTAGCTCAGAAGGTCACCCGCTGACGACACAGTCTAGAAGAGAAAGATTGTTTCGTCTAAATTTAAAATATTTTCTTCTGAAAATGAGACTTTATACCACTTGGAAACGAAAAATTTTTAAGGCCTGGTTTGAAGCTCGTCATTCCACTGGGAGAACGACAAAATTGCAATATATTATCAGCTTACTGCAAAAATAAGGCAAAAGGAAAATCACTTTTTTGCTTGCTTTCTGACGACTATCAAACGATGGTAGGTAGCTGTTTCGACCAAGTAAGGCAAGGACAAAACAAAAACTGAAAGCAAAGTACTATTGACTTCATGATCTTAGAAAAAAATATTATTTGAAGAATGATTTTAAACTCTTTACTCTAAATTTTTATAGAAAGCAAAACTTTGAACGGATTTACTCGTTTTCGAATTTTTTTTTGACGAGGCCAAAATGTGCACTGGATAGGCGCACAGTTTTGTGTCTGCATGATGCTGAATTCCAGAGACAAGTCTTTAAACATGGTTCAAATTTTGTCGGAACGATAAAAGGAAAGTAAAGAACGAAAGAAGAACAAAGGGAGTTGCGGAATCCACTTACAATGCACAAAATGCACAGTTTGGCCTCGTAATGCTAAAAATCATCTTTTGATGGTTAATAATAAACAGTAAACTAGAGCTTACGATTCCATTTGTCATATCACATGCTTTGTTTTGAGCTATGTTCTCATACGGAGGACACAGAGCTAAAACACAAAAAAAATAACACGAATAGAAATTTTGGTATAATTATCATGGACAAGCTTTTCGTCTGACTAAAAAACGTAAATTTGTCTTGAATAGTGCGGTAGGCTTACATTGCCATAAAGTCATAGAAGAACTCAAAAACGACTGAAAAAATTCAAAAGAAATAATAACAAATCTTATATATTGCCGCAGGGGCTGATCTAGGATTTTCTCGAGGAGGCGGATTTTCAAAAAATTTTCGAAAGTTTTGACGACCTTTTTTTAAATAGACCAAAGTCAATTTCTGCGCTCTCCCAATAAATTAAAAAAGCTCTGTTTTGGTCAATTAATTTTTGCACCGCAGGCAAAAGTTTGAAAAATAAGCCAAAAATGGGTTTTTAGGCATTTTTTGGAAATTTTTGACCAAGAAAAACGCGTTTTTTTGTCGCGCACTCCATCCTTAAAATTAGTATATATTGGGTCGGTTGGCCACAAAACGGATTTTTTTATAAAGTACCAAAATGTATGACAGATAAGACCCCCCTTCCTCCTCCCCGACTTCGACTTTTTTTTCGACATTTTTTCTAAGCTCCTCTAAATCACAATAAAGACCGTATTTGAAGCAATTTTTGAAAAACGTTTTTTTTTACTTATTTTAGTTAATTGGAACAAAAAACATATTTTTCCACCCCCCTCTCAAATATAGTATATATTGGGTCCATAGGTGACTTCAAATCATTTTTGGGGTCGGTCATCGGTGATTAAAAATAAAATTAAAGGTAAATTGTCTTAGTTTGTCCCAGTTTTTATAGATTTAAGTTTTACGGTTCAACATGGGTTATTCAGTTTGATGAACTAAATTTCAAAACTGTTTCTATCACATATAACTTTTATCAATCGTTGATTCAATGAAGATCCAATGTTTGTGAGTAATGTGCCGCAAATTAGTATGACTCAATGTTTCATATAAAATAACCTTAACCAATATTTAATATAACAAAAAACTTTATTTTAACAAAAAAACCGCCTCTTTAATAGCATGGATATTCAATGAATATCCAATGATTATGTGTTTTGAAACAGAATTTAGCAAGAATCTATGTTTCATATAAAAAATACTCCCGGTTGAAGTCCATACAGTTTTTTCTATGCTTGTCATACCCTTTTCTTCTAAGAAGATTGCATGATCAGCATTTTTGGCGAGCATGAGAGTTACATTAGAGCAACTTTATCTTCATAAAAAAATTTTTGAACAACAAAATGCTAATCATTTTTGTTTGGATCAATGGATAATGATATCCATTTTTTCATAGAAAGAAAAAGAAGTTTGAAGTAAAAAATTTTTGATTCCTTATTTGATTGCAAACTTGCTTCGGTGCTCAGTTACACATTTTACGAATCGGTAAGTTGCATGCAAAAGCTGACATTTATGTCTATAACGTAGTCCAGGTAAAGTTGCTTACCCCAAAAATCCAAAAATCACTAGCAAATATTTTTTTGTGTTCATGTGCTAAGATAATCATATGCAAAAAAAATCAGCTGCCTTTTATCACCCACCAAAATTTTCAAAGTATAAAATTCCGAGCCGTATACAAAAACTTTTGTTTTCGGCACATAATTCTGAGTGAAAATGTTAGCATTAACATACATGGCTGCACAGTTTCTGCGTGGTAACTGCCAGTTTCACTCTGGATTTTTTTATGATAGAAAATCTTTGGTTAGTATGTTTCGGATGAAACAGAAAGTTTCAATACAGTTTTTTTTTGTTTTTAATTTATCGAAAAAGTGTTTTTTATGTAATATTTCATAGCAATGAAAAAATGCTATAGTTTGTTATTTTCATGGATTTTTTCTGATAACTAAGGAGGCAAAAAGCCTGTTATTTAGTTCCAGAATAAGGCAAAAAATACTTATAATAAAATTTCATAGCACAAGAAAAATGCTTAATTTGCTCTTTTCGCACAATTTTTTCAGTCCATGAAATTTTATGAAACTGCATGGTAAGCTTTTTTGTCAACCCGGGCGTTATCAATATTTTTTTAATCAAAAACATAATTTAATGAAAAAATTTTAGTTTAACGGCATGACTATTCAACGAATATCCAATGTCTGTGTGTAATGAAGCTGAATAGAGTTCTCAAGTTTGAACTAAACATTGCGTGTACTGAATTAGCGTAGTCTGAACGGCAGTTGGGACGGAATTGGTAAGCTTACGGAAAGTAGACAGAGCATTCAGGGATTTGTTCTCACGCGAGCAGCATAAAAAAGTCTAAGACGTTGGCACTGCATGTAATCAGCGGAAAAAATCAAGAAGTTCAAAAGTAATTATCACTTTTTATCATAACCTGTTTCAATATTTTATTTTAACAAAAATTTTTTGCCCACTTGAACAATTCAATTTAATCAGCATTTGAACAATTCAATTTATTGACCACCTGAATAATTCAAGAACTTGCGTTGAAAGGAGCAGTGATCATGATAAAAAAAATATGCTGTTTTTTATTCGACCTTTCATATTGAACGATGACCTTGTGTCTATACTCATAGAGTAATTTGAGGTAAGGTACACCGTCTGTTTGTCTCCTTTGCTGCTCGTTCTCGGGCTCTAAGAAATCTTTATATACTGCATTTATATACTTACATCTTGTTGTTTAAGTTTTATTTTTAGTTATGATTTATTGTTAATTATTGTCGCAAAAGCGTGTTTATTTTAGTCTGGTTATTTTAAAGAGTCGCTCACCCTAGAACATCTCTCGTCAAAATTAGAGTGTGGGTCACAAAGCGTGGTTGTAGCGCGGTGGGTTAGGCCGGCTATAGAGCATGCTCAGGACGTCCCTCTGGTAGGTGAGGCCAGGAGTGGGCTATATTTTATGGTCTCTTTGAGCAGTAACTCTTAATATGTTCAACCTTTTGTTAAACATTCAGTACGTGTTTCTCTCTTTTTTGTTTTGGTTGTGTCCTTTTTTTGAAAAGTAGAATCAGTTCTTTTGGGTTTGTCTTTCGAATTTTTTGTGTTTTATTTGATTTTAATAAAACTTGAAGGTGGCTTTCAAAAAAATAATTTATCCAGTTTTAACCTGGTTTTACCTTGGTTTGGTTACCGTGGGACTTTCTTTCTTAGTCATGCTATTAGTTTGTGGTTTTGTGGCGTTAGTAAGCTGCGTTGGTTAGTTCAGCTTACTTTAATAATTCCTTCCAACCGGGTTATTGGAAAGTTTGAAACGTGTGAAAATAAGTTAGAGTTGTTATCAGTGAAAGTTAAATTGATTTTCATTATATAAACAATTCTTCGTGGGCGAGCTGTGCGATTGAAGAAATCAAATTTCTAAAAGAAGCTTCTTGTATAAAGGTTATTTTTCTTTAATTTATTTGCAATTTTTATGAAATTACTACATAGAATTATTAATTTACTTCTATGGAAAATTAATTTTACAAATACACTGCCTTTGAAAGAAAAGTTTACCACTTCAATTACATAGTGCGATTGTTAAATTAAATTTGAAAAGTTTATAGAAAAGAGTTTTCATTTTTTATCGGTCTTTATTTGTTTTAGATGAAGGAATGGTGAAATCTAAAAAAGAAAAGTGAGACATGTATAAAGAATGGTTAGTATGATTTTAAGTTTTTTAGTTTAATTATTTACTTATATTTACACAAGGTTGTCGTCGGTAAAAAAGTTCATTTGGGAATTTAGTGCGAGTAGTGTCGGAAGATGTGAGGAGCTTGGCAAGCATGCGGATGACATATTTAGTTTGAAGGAGAGGCCATAGAAGCTCGATCGCTCGGATGATGTTGTGCTCTTCACTATTGAAAGAGAGTTCATGTGATGTACTTTGGATTAGGTTATATAGCTTGTGATTGTGTTTAAAATTGTGAATGTATTCTAAAATTTGGACTTCGATGGGCTGTATATATTTGTGGGGGATGATTAGCGGGCGGAATTCTTCAACATAAAAAGATTTGATAGTGGGCAGAATTTATACATTTGTCTTTTGGGGTCATAGCTACATGTTAGTATTTTTTATACAAAAAGAGAAGTTTAGAAAGTATGTGAGGTGTATTTGGGGTATATGAAAGTGAATCTGTGTTGTGGGTTTTGTTTTTTGCTGGTGTGTTAGTTATGTAGTGGTGTTGAATAAACTTATAACAGGTGTTTGTAAGGATTAGTTTAGTGAGTAACATTATCTCGCGTGAGTCTTGCAAGTCACGTTCTTTTGGTGTGAGATTGTTAAAGTTAGTGAAAAGTGATTAAACTTGTTGAAATAAGAGTCATAAGCTTTGTTGTCTCGGAGTGCGATAGAATAAATTTTATCATAATTATTATTCATGCTGTTAATTACAAATACATATTCTGATTTTATAAAAAAATTCTCATTTAGTTGGGGTTAAGTGTTTTCATCTTCTTCTATGACTGATTCTTCCATATATCGTGCAATAGCGTGATCGTTTCAGTTAATTGAAAATCTGTTTGCTTTTTGTGCAACAAATCCGTTTAAAATTTTGTCAGTCCTATAGTTGTGAATTAATCTTCAGGCAGTGCTGTGGTTAGGTGGTGTAGTCGGGATTGACAGATTTCCTTGTCGGCTTGGTTATTGTACAAAGGGAGTGATAGTGGGTTTGTGAAGTGATAGTGAGATGTCCATGATAAGGTAGGAAGCAGACTATATTCGTCTACAAAACTCAGTTGGTGATCTTTAGTGTGATAGTATGTGTATTTGGTAAAAAAGGGTAAATTATACTTGAGGAATTCCTTAGTATTAGTGGGCTTCGGGTGAGGGGAAAACAGTCGGGGTCGTCGGGGTGGTGAAATAAGTGGGTATTGGGATGCTTACGTTTGAATACTGGGTGGGCTTGGGTTTCTTTTACTGTGGAGGCTGGGTTGGAGGATTCGGAGGATGAAATTGATTGTGATAAGTGTTGAATTTTTAATGTGTTAGTGTTTCATAAAGTGATGAAATGTCAAGTTCGTTTTCTGATTCTTCATTGACGGGGCTAAGGGATCGGGTTGATCACTTGTCAT